TTCTTCTTCTTCTTCTCCTTCTCTTTCTTCTTCTCCTTACTGGTTCGGACTACTGTAGCAACAGTAGAAACAGAAGCCAAGGTGTAGTCTTTGCTGGTGGGAGTAAGGATTGTGCAATGTCCCTAAATATCACTTCTGTGGTGGTAGAAGGAGAGCCAAAAGTTGTTATAAGTTGGATGCTAAACCAGGAGGAGTTGGAGACTCTCCCATCAGTTCAATGAAATCAGGGAAATTCTGTCTCGGATGCTCTGTACATTCAGGTGGACCCCTAGAGAGTTGAATACTGTGGTAGATGCTCTAGGTAAATCTGCGGTGGGCAGGGATTTATTGTATAGTGACAATTTGATTCCTTTGTAAGTGATTGGGAGGATTCTTTTGATCTTTTTGAGTGCTTCTGGTGAGGTGTATCTCTTATACATCTTGTATATACTTCCCTCATTTTGTTAATGAAAGTTATCCTTTCTCAAAAAAAATATTTGGTGTAATGGTAAAATCTTGGGCTGTCCTGTGTGAGAATGTGGATTTGAGTCTGAAGGTTTTGTGGCTTGTGTGGGAAAAAATGCCTAAGGTTATGACTGTATCCAGTCTACTCCCAAGATTCCAGATAGCTGGGAGCAACATTGGGGTTACCTCTTTGCTATATGTGGTTCACATTTTCCTCAATGCCTGTTGTTGCATTTTTTTTTTTTAATTTTATGATAAATACTGTTGTAGCATTTTCTTGTTATGCAATTTTCTTTCATATGATCATGACATGGTGTTTGCTTCCTGCACAGTGGTAAGGGAAGAGAGGGGTCCATATAGTGATCCTCAGCATCCCTATCTGTACGAGGGAGAAGATGTTTGGATGGCACCAGGATTCATTAATCAGTTTTATGAAGTAAGCCAAGGTTCACTTTTAGCTTGTTAAAACACCTTGCCCAAGCACATCGAAACACGACTTTGTTTGTATGACAGGTTCCTAATTATTGGAAAAAATATGTGCATGAGGTGGATCAAGAGAGGGAAATGTGGTTGAACTCCTTCTATAAAGCACCATTTAGGATCCCTATGCCTGCTGAGCTTGAATATTGGTGGTCCAAAGGTACAAACCGACTTCTTTTAAGTGGTGTACTCTTGGTTGTTTTGGGTAGTTTGTGGTCAGATGTGGTGCCATTATAGGTCCACTTGGCATGTGGTACTGTTGTGGCACTGCCATTTGAAGGACCTCAGTTGGGATACCCTCCTTTGTCAAAGATTTATAAAAAAAAAAGGTGATACTAACGACCTAAATCTATTTCATGGGTAGAAAGGTATGGTGAATGGTTTCTAAACAAATATTATAGGTTAGACAATTTGATTGTTGAACTGTCTGATTTGCTTAGAAACTTTGTTTTTCAAAAAGGTTTTACTAGGATATCTTGCAGCCAATATCTTAATGAGTGATAAGCCAAACCTCCATTTGTGTGCATCAGGCATGCAAGTGCGCAAAGAAGAGATACTAGAAATAATGTATTTACTATCTAATTTTTTCTTCTTTCTGCTTTAATTTTTTTTCCAGTGAAAAGAGAATGCATGCAAGTATGCAATATATAATAGAGAATACAGGAATTGCCAAAAACCCTTGTGTCCTAAGAAATAATAACCTCCTATTATTGATGTTTGTTTTTATTTCATCACATGTTTGTAATTGATATACAGGTTTCTTAGTTTGACAGTTAAGTTTATCCATTGGATCAACCTCTTCTAATGGGGGTTGAATTTTGTATTTCAGTTATAAATTATCTTTAATGAAAGTTACCGTTTCTGATAAAAAAATTGTAATGAAGGGAAAAATCAATGTCATGAAAACAATTATATTGAAATAGAAAGGACAAGGGGAAAATTGGCACTTGGACAGTTAAATTTGTTGATGATATTCTCTACACCAGCTTTTAGTTTTATTATTCATACTTTCTAAAATGATTCCCTTGTCTTTTTTTGATTTCTTATTGTTGGGTTTCAACTGGTTTGTATGTATTACTTTATGGTCAGCCTAGAAGTCTTTGGTTGATCTAGTAAAAGTTTGTTTGCCTTTTCAGATGAGAGTCCAGAATTTGTTCTCATTAACAAGGAACCAGAACCTGACCCTACAGACCCATCGAAGCTCATATATACAGAAGATCCTCTCATTCTACACACTCGAACTGGACGATTGATCAATTATGTTGAGGACAAAAAATATGGGATCCGATTGTTTTGGCAGCCACCTCTCAAAGATGGGGAGGAAGTGGATCCAGAGAAGGCCCAGTTCCTACCACTTGGCTTTGATGAGTTCTACGGGCGGGCCACTCGTGGTCCAAAAAAGGAAGGTATATGGAAGCGCTTTATAGTGTCAGTTGAAAATGCATGCAAACCAGTCTTTGATAAACTGGAGAACTGGACTGAAGAGAAGAAGAAAGCTAGTGAGATGAAGCTTAAGCTGATAGAACAAGAGCTTGAATTCATAGAGGCTGAATTGTGTCTGGAAGAGACTATTGAAGACATGGAAACAGAACTTAAGAAGAAGCAGAAAGAGGAAGAGAAGAAAGTAGAAATGGGTCAATTGGATGCAGAGGATATGTCAGTTTCTGCACCTACTGATCAAGATCGTACAGTATCAGCTGAGGATGAGGAGGAAGAAGAGGAAGAAGAGGAAGAAGAGGAAGAAGAGGAAGAAGAGGATGAAGCTACACCAACAAGTTTTGGGTCTGTTCTTCTATCAGAAGATCAAGATCTGACAAAGAATGATAAAAAGGGTAGCAGGCCTGGAAAATCTCCCTTTGCTACATCATCAATGTTGTTTGCTTCTTGTGGGCTGGCTTTGACAGTAAGTCTTTTATTTGCATGTCAGACCAATTTCTTTTATTTTTTATTTAAAGATTTCTATTTGATATTTTGATTGTAGTATAGACCGGGCATTCAAATAGCAAAACTTGACGGTGATTTGTTGATGTTGGAATTCAATTTGATTGATTAAGATTTTATAATTTAATAAGATTATACTAAAAATCATTAGATTCTTCCTTGTATAGAAAAATCCATTTCCCAATGCTGGTCCCAGCTAAGGTGGGGTCTTGTGAAGTTTCCACTCTCATAGTCAAACGTGCATATCAACTTGAGATTTTGCTATTATTATCAGGCAAAACAACCCCCTGTTTTGAGTTCCTTGTATCTCGTTATAAATTTGATAGTTGTATTGTCATTCTTAGTTATTTTTTGTTAGTTGTTTTGCCTCTTATCCTAGATAGATTTATGGATCGAGTTACTAAAGGCCTTTAACTCTCCAATTTCTTATCTACTTAGGGTGCTGATTTGGGCACATCCAATTTTCAATAAACTGGGCATAGCCTTAGTGAAAAGATAAAGAAAATTTGTATTCATCATGAGAAAATTCAATGTATTTTTTAGTCTTATGACACAGAGATACATAATAAGGTGTCCAAATCACTCCCCTTATTCAATCCACTAGGCTTGGTATTTTCAGAGATTGTCTCATAATTAATTTAATGATGGATTTATTTTTCTCCTTGTTTTGTCTTGCAGGTTCCATCTAAGCTGCAGCAGTCATTCTTGTCATGGAAGAAGGGAAAATCACAGACAAGTAAAGCACTCCGTCTAGATTCCTGTACTGAGAGCTCCACTACAAATTTGGAACCATTTAGTGTAATCAGCTTTCCCTGCACACTCCAGTATACAACGGGTTTGAAACTAGCTAGACAGAAGAGTCGGAGGCTTCACCGTAGACATGATGGGCTCTCTCAGTTACATTCTCTATCTCGGATTCTATCAGGCCCTAGGGCTTCTAGTATGCTAAAAGGCCTGGGAGATGAATTGTCATGGGGTCAGTGGTTGCATGTGCCACCTGATGGAGATATGGATACCATATTGTCCATGCACTTCCCACTATGTACGGGTTCGTGCACAGAAGTTCTTACTCATGAGGTGCTCTCTCTCTCTCTCTCTCTTACACACACACACATACACTCGTGTATCTTTGTTGTTAATTGTATGGAATTTCATCTTGTGAAACAGGACCTGGTTGTTACTGGTGGTACTAGCTGTTAGATTCAAATTGGGTATTAGTGGGAACCTTGGAAGAAATGTGCGGACGGACCCTTTTTGTTTCAGCCAAAGTTTTGACCTTGTCTGTATAAGGTAAAGAAGAAAACCTCTTGAGTTGAAATGTCTTTCTGCGGCAAAAAGTTCATAAAGGCATATTCAAAAAATAAGTGTAAAGCCCATTAAGTCCCATATGTATGTCGAATTAGTCTTGACYAAATTCAATGGTATTTCTTCCTGCATGTTTACTAGGTTTTTTTGATCTTCATTCCATGTCCACTCGTCTGTTACAATTCCCAGGTTCATTAATGATTTCATTAGTCTACTCAATTTTGCTACTTGTTTTAATATTTAAGTGCATTGATTGGCCATATTCATGATCTTCGTTTGTTCAATTTCATTGAAAGTTGAGAAGCTATTATCTTACACTTAGTTGGAATACATATCAAGGGTCTATGACTAGGCTAAAATTCAGGTCAGTTCAACAAATTCTACAGCTCATTTGGCTATAAATAAGGTTTAAACAACTAAACACAACCAATAAAAGAATACACCGGATTAAAAAAAAAAACAGATTTGAACAGCTTATGTGAAGTAATAAGGACAATGAACCAATTATAGTTCATATTTGTATACAAAATGCTCATGAATCTGCTATTTTTAATTATAATATGCATAATGTATCCAAATTTAAATAATATGCCATACACATGAATGGTAAATCTATTACAAACTTATACATATAAATATTAAATAATACATTGTAAATTTTTAATTTATAATGAGAATCAGAAAGTCAGAAACCCACTAAAAAGTCAACTTAATATGTAAGATATTTATCGTTGAGACATTTTTATAAGTGTTAACACATGTTTTGCGTATTATATATTAATTAAAACTAAGAAACATAAATTAGTATAAAATTATGTTTGCATATCATATCAATCGTTATAGTGGCTGTTTTTTCAGAAAAAAAAGTTGCAAAAAAAGGTCTATTAGTGGGTATGTCGTGCCCCTTAGCCCAATATATATACATGCTACTCCTTTATACGGTGTCAAATACTTTTGATATTCCAACTGGGAGAGCAGGGCATCAAATGCTTAGCTTCCAGTCAAAGGATCAAAATATTTAATATTGGTATGCCCGGTACCAAGTTTCTAACAATTGTGTATTGGTGCGTATACTAGCATGAGAGAGACGCCTTCTATCAATCCAAACTCTCAAAACCCCACAAACTTCATATTGGTGTATCCATGCGTAGGGGTGTCAATTAGTCCAATCTAATCTGGTCTAATGAGTCCAGATGGATAGGTCCAATCAAATCCGGTGTGTACTTTGAAGTTTGAACTATTTTGGATCAGTTCAATTCAATRTTTGGAGTTTGGATTGTTATTTTGGACCAGTAAGTCTGGACTGGTCCAATTCAATGTCTTATTGGTCCATCCAATCTGTCTAAATTGATATTGATTTGAATGGGGTCCAATTCAAACCCGATTCATTGATATCTCTATAATACGTTTCTATGATTATTGATATGGGACATATTATATTAATATATTATTTTTTATTTGTAATATTCTCTCTCTGGACGTGAAGATGAGGGATCAAACCCATGCAACTGCAGGCTCTCTTCTTGTAATAAGGTCAGTGGACCTCCTATGAATTTGCATGGTGCCCCACATCACATCACTGCTGTGCATTGGGAACATTTAACATGGCTGGGGGCACGTGCGGGGCGCGTTGTGCAGCGTGATGACCATCTGAACTCACAAAAAAACACATTTAACCGGTTTAACCGGGACTTGGAAAAGTCATTGGATGAAGATGAACAGTCACCGGTTCAACTGTAACAACACTGATATTGAGAGTGCTGAAACTAAACAGTATGATTCTGACCATTTACTAAAGGTTGGTCTTGTTTTCATACAATTTCATCCTTCAAGGTTGGTAGGTAGGTGTGTGAATGACTGTCTGTCTCATGCTGTGCGTTGCATTCACGGTGGCATGATCCGTCTCACCTTATTCATGGTAGGTGAGATGTGGAAAACGGGATTTTGTCCAGGATGTGGATGAGTTTTGTCTGCTGATGCTGCAGAGTGCGCACTGCAAGACTTCCCTTTCTATCATTCTCTATTCACTCAAGCTGTGTTTTAAAATTCAGAAAAAGAAAAAGAAAAATGGTCAAAGCCCAAGAACCAATATAATATACTTAGTGAATCATGCTTGAGCTGAGCATATCAAATTCCTGCCTCTGCCTGCATTCTTCTTTCATGCAGCAGCATCACAATAAATTTTCTCTCAACTGAACAACTTATTATGTCTTTATCTTACCGAGTAAAGTAATAAAGTAATAAAATAAGAAAATATTTCTTAACCGTCTCCTTAAATGACTTAGAGGGTGTTTGGCAGGCGTTTCATTTTACAAAGTGTTTTAGATTCATAAGTATTTCATGTCAACCTTTTTTTTTTTTTTTTTAAACAAGCACAAAAAAAGAAGTAGTGTTTATCATAGATGCAGACTGATTGCATGATTTTTGACTTATTATTATAATATATTTACAATAACAAGCGTATGACATGTCAGCTTTTTCAAATTTTAATATGTCAGATCACCTAGATCACCAAGGAGATTCAAGAATACTCAATTTTGATGATTCAAGAATCGCCCCCTTTTACTAATCCTGAAACTAATCGTGCAGCAACATTTTCATTAAAAAATAAAAAAAATGCCAAACATGACTATTCTGATGTGGCAAGCTCGTGAAACACTACAGTGAAGAATCCTGTTATTTATTTCAAGATCTAATCAGCCCCCCACAAAGTCCCACAGTACATCTCTGCCGTGTATTGGGAACATCTCCCGATGATATACCAGAAATGATGATGTCATCATTGGGAAGATGTTTCCAATACATAGCGGGGATGCGCTGTGGAACGTTGTGGGGGGCTGATTTGAACTCATTTTTTTCTTTAAGGCTGTGTTTGGTTGCAGTGTAATTTTATTTGCATTAGTACAAATGCATAGGAGTGCAAATGAAAAAAAATGTAAATTCTGATTTAATTTTGTTTTGGGTTGTATTTTATTCTGCTTCGATTCTTATTTTACTTCATTGTGTGGCAATCAAACAAAATAAAGTAAAATTTGAAATAAAAATAAATCATAACTTACACCAAAATTATTTGCACTACCATGGTTTTGCATCAGTGCAAATAAATTTGCTTTGCAACCAAAAACAGCCTAAGGCTCAATTTGGAAGGAGTACAAATCAATGTTTTTCAACCCGATGTTGACTCGGCCGTTCGAACCATCACCTGGCCAGGTTTTCGGGTTTGATTCAGTCAAGACCCACCAAATGGTAAAAAACCGTTCGACATTGACTTGTCGACTTGGTGATTAGGTTCCAAGTTGCACACTCAATGCATACAAACTTTTAGAGGCCATAACTTGCATTTCAATGTTCGCTTGAGGTGATTTTTTTTTTGTTTTTTTTTTATTTTTATTTTAAGCAACTTTTCGAGATCTATGCATCCTAAGGGGCCTAAGGTGCCTTGTCCCGCTATTTTTGTGAAAAAAAACTTTTTTGGTCTCAAATTACAAATTTTAATATTTTTTATACATACATACATACATACATACATATATGCACTGATGTAGCACGATCTGAACCGTTCGAACCGGCCGATCAAACCTATGACCCAGAGATAAAAATGGTTCTGCCTCCAAGTCGATTTTTAAAACATTGGTACAGATACAAATATGCACATTTATAAATACATACAAAATGCATGATTTTTCACTCTATTTGTTTGTATTTATACTCCTTCCAAGCCTAAAATGTGATTTGGTTCAGCTGTTTCAGCCATTAAGATACGAGTATGAGTATATTCCTTGTTCAGTGGTGATATTCTCTCGTACTAGGGCCCGAAGGACACAGCTGAGCTGGAGATGGACGTAACGCCTCACTCAGCTCTATTCTACACCGTTGGGTGGGGCGGCCGTTTCGGAAAAGTCGAAAAGAGACAAGCGGCGTAAAAAAGGGTCGTAGGCTCATCGTTTTACTACGCACAGCTTAATCCACGTCAGCCCTTACGTTGCAGTCTACATTCTACAAACTTAGCAATCGTCACCATCTCCACCAACGTACGACCTACCACGAGTCCACGACTGCTATTAAGCTAATTATGACACCACATTATTGGATTTTTGCTCAACTTATTCTCCTTCTTCTTCTTCATATCACGGAAAGACGATAGTACCCTTCAAACCAACTATATTTTCTCATTTTCTGGGGTATGTGTCGTGCCGACGAGCACATAAAGTATCAATTGATTGCCTGATTCCAATTTCCAATTTGATAGGAACAGGCGAAGATCTGTCAAAGGGTTGTCGGGTCTGGTTCGGGACAGGGTGGATTATAAAACTGACCCAGCCTAAACCGGACCCTATTGGTTCTATAAAACTGATCCCCAATTGAATCAATTATTAATCATGCAAATTATACTTGATCCATTAAGATTTTGATGCCTAAAATTTTCTATCATCAAGGATTAAAATAGGGTATCAACTATCAATATACATATTTGATACCTTTAATTACTTATGAAACTTATATGATATTAAATACATAATTACTGGGAATGCAAAATTGGAAATAAGAACCAATTCGATTATAATCGGGGAACAAAACTCAGAACCAGAACCGGTAAAATCGGTTCGGTTATATCGGATAGACCCGGACCCATCGATAGCTTCTATTGGTTGGAACGGAATTCAAAGAACACATGGCAGGTGAAAAGCTTTTGCAGGCCGCACACGTGAAAATCACCTTGGGATTTAGCTACATTATTATTAATTAACAAAAATGGTTTACAAATAATAAACTAATTATCATGATAGATAAGGCCAGTTTCGTCATTTTAAATACAAAATACATCTTGCTTCTTGACCAGCTATTTTTCATTAAAATAACAATAGGAAAAAAAAAAAAAGCAGAATCGCTCTTCTCTTCTCCCTGCTGATTATGCCCTACCTAATAAAAGCTAAAACAAGAAATCCGGCTCTTTAAAATGCTTGGGTGTAGCCCTCCCCAATCTGATTTCCGAAGAACAAAGTTAATGGCAGCAAGTGCTTAGACTCTGGTGATGCTCGGGGTGTTGTGTCTGCGTCCCAAGCCTTGGACTCTTTCGGCGTTATCTTATGCCCAGGTGGCTATACATCATCGGTTCACCGAAAGGTCAATCTCTCCAATCAGTTGCAGCGGCGTTGATCACTGGCGGCGCCACCACTCTAGCGAATGTCGCCTCAGTGGCATTGGCAACGGAACTGCTTCGATATGGCACGCTATTCTTCCATCCGGTGGCCGTGCTCGGAGTGATAGCACTTTGAGACCAGCTTTTCAGTATGTACACAAAGGAGAAGGGTCCTGGAATGTGGCTTTGGACGTCCGTCCGGCCAGATGGTTGCACGGCTCCGATTCGGCATGGCTTCTTTTTGGGGTCTGTAACTGCCTTGCACCATTGGATTGCTGTAGGGAAAGTCTGAGTGCGCCTGTTGATGATGGTGCTTGCAGTGAACTGGAAAATGCTGAAATAAGATTGAATGGAGAGGATACCTCTTTAATTGATTACAGGGTGACTGGTTAGTCGTCCTCCTTACTCTGTCTTTGTTATTGTTAGAATGAACTTATTGAATGCATACAATCTATTTAACTTAATATCTGATAATATTCATGATTGAAATATTCCTTAATCAATAATTGATTGCATCTAATTCAAGAAATTCTTGAACTAATTAATTGATTTTTCTTTTTTTAATTTTTTCAAATAAAAATGGATGGATTGTTTATTTTTTTCCCCAATTTGATGAGCCAGAGTCTGAATTTTATGGGTATTTCCTCTCTTTTTTTACTGAATGCTACAAAACCTCAAGCATGAGGTTTTCTTTGATTTATTTTGATACATATATGTAAAGTTTTGAGTTTTTTTATTGGCATGAGACTAATATCTAGGTCATTACAGGGGTATTAGCTGATGGTCGATGTCTGTTTAGAGCAGTGGCTCATGGGGCTTGTTTGAAAAGTGGAGAAGAAGCTCCTGATGAAACCCGTCAGAGAGAACTCGCTGATGACTTGAGAGCTCGAGTGAGTGCTTTGATTGTTAATGTTCTTGCATAATTCAAAGTCCAAAATTGAGTGCTCTTGAGGGAACAGGAAATAACATAGTATTTGGGTTACTGAATTATTTTGCAGGTAGCGGATGAACTGTTAAAAAGGAGAAAAGAAATTGAATGGTGAGATTTTAGTCTATTTGACTGAAGATGTTACTTCAATTGGGTTACAGTATTAATGTGATTTAGTCCCTTTTCCATGTTCAGGTTTGTTGAAGGAGATTTTGATGCCTATGTTAAAAGTATTCAGCAACCCAATTCATGGGGAGGAGAACCTGAGTTGCTGATGGCTTCTCATGTCCTCAGGTTAGTTTAAACCTACAGAGTTTTAGAAGTAACTTGGACTTCAGGGGCTGTTGAATACTCTGAAGGAAATTTAGTAGTTTTCTACCATGATTCTAAAGTAAAATTCCTATATATATATGTATATATTCTTAGCTCCCTCCCCAACTTTTCTTACTTAAGACTCTCAGAATAAATTCTGATTTCTTAACTGAAATATTGGGAAATCAATTTTGTTCTGTGGATGCAGGACGCCAATATCCGTCTTCATGAGAGATAGAAGTTCAGGTAGCTTGATAAACATTGCAATTTATGGTCAGGAGTATGCACAGGATAATGAGAATCCTATTAAGGTGCTGTTTCATGGCTATGGACATTATGATGCTTTGGAGACTTTCTTGGATGGAAATAACCAGAAAGTAGAAATGTAAAGGTTGATTATGGAAGGATAGAGAAAAGTTCAGTTAGATGAGATGAGTCAGTTTCAATTGGATGAGAGACTTGCTCCAGCAGTTAAGATTTTCAATAAGCCCAATTTTATGTACTGACTTAAAAAGAGGCTAGCTCCCTTGTTGTAGATGGCCAGATTTTTGGCCTACTCTGTCAAATTTAATCCATGCAATAAAAAAAATAGAGCTGGTTAGTTCAGGGCTCAAAAATGTCATCTGCAATGCCACATGACTATAGAAAGGTGTATTGCCTTCTTCCTTGAAACTGACAAGGATTCTGGCTGTTATAAAGGCTCCTTTTTACTTTATTACTGCTGTATGCAAAAGTGGATTAGTGTTTTGCTAAGATAAACTTGAGTTGAGACTTGTGGGAGTGCCAAGGCAAAATATGAGAAAGTAGAAGCCAGCACATCCCAAGCTACTATTTATGAGTTGTAGAAGTAGAATAACACTGAACGAAAAAAAAAATCACAATATACTGCATAAATCAAAATAAATTTATTGCATCCCTTATCATTTTGAAGTTAAACCCAAATCTTTTATTTTATTTTTTTCAGAATTTAAGGCTTTGTGTTTGATAGAAATAAGAGAAACATAAAGTTAGGGAAAGTTCTTAAAGAGTTTCACAAAATTATTAAACTTCTCCTAACTTTCTCTTTCTCTCTTATTTTCTATCAAACCAAACACAGTGTAATAGCATATGGATGCAGATTTAAGCATCGACATGTCCTCAGAACAGCATAAACTGATTTAGTCATGAATTAGGTAAGAATTTCAGGTTGGAACGCAAGCTGGGTGGTTGCAAGCCATTACTGTATTATATGCTGATATTATACTCTGTTTAACCTAACTGCTTCAATGATCCAACTTAGGGGTGAATATGAGCCAAGTTCAGCTGAAAAGTGTAAGGTTCGAGTTCGATTTAAGCTAGAAAATATGAGCTCAACTTGGTTTGAGTTCAACACGGGGATTTAGATCGAGCTTTCCATGAGTTGAGTTGGAATAGCTTGCTTTAGATCCACCCCTAACCCCACTATTATTTTACCACTATATGTGTTAGATCTGAATTTTTTTTCTGTTTTTAATCTAGAGCACCAACATGTGGCATTTGGCTTCAAAGGCTTGAGGAAGCAAATGAGTATTCAACAGTTTACAACTTGCCAAAGGCGTCTTCCATCCAACCATCTGGTACATGGTCGCAATCAGTCCTGTCCGTTGTGTAAGGTGACCCCAAAAAAGCACTGGCCTACAAATGATGCTTTCATTGCTTGTATTGGTTGGTCCTTTGTCCGGTTTCTCAGCTTGTTGAGATATGAACTCCTACTGTTTTGAGATTGTCTAGCTCTTACTAGATGTCCGCTCTGCCTACTTTTCCAACTCTCCAACTTTCTGTGCTAATTTCGTTTCCTATTTCTTTAAAAGTATCAACATGGTATATCTATGCAGACCTTTAACATGTTTTGATGAACTTCTGATTTGTAAAATCATGTGACAAAATATCCTGCTGCTCTCCTCAAGACTGGTATGTTCACATGTCCGTTGAACTCAAAAGCTTATAATTATATAGATACAAAGTGTCTGTGCCTTAACACTCATGTAATTGGCAAAGAACCGAAGGCTGAGTTTGGAAGGAGTACAAATGAAAATATATAAAGTGCAAATACATACAAAATATAAGGTTTTGCACTTATGAAATCCTACATTAATGTTTTTTCTCTTTTGATAAGAAAATCCCACATTAATTAAGGGTCAGTTTGGGAAGAGTGTATATTGTATTTCTAAATCTTTTATTTGCACTATACATAAGTGTATATGTAATCTTACTAAATATCAAAACTTCCACCCAACGAGGTGAAATTTATTTGTTTCCCTCCCAATTCTAAATGGGAGTAGTCCAAGTAGTCTCTGGAATCCAAACTGTTCGGCCCAATTGCCAAGTCTTCCATAGTTTTTAAGAACATTCACAGTCCATCAGCATATTGTTTCATGCGTTCATGAACAAATGTATCAACAAACAAGTTGGTCTTGACACTCAATCCAGCCTACTTTGTATTTTATTGGGGTTCCCGGGCCATCGAGTTCTGTAAATTGTAATAAAGATGTACCAGATGAGGATATTCGGATATTCCATGGGGTAAACACAGCGAAAGTGCAAATAGGGCTCAGAATCGGGCCAGGGTGGGTCATCCTAGACATATTCGGGGCCTTCCCAGATAAAACCTATAGGGCTTTAATGACCTGGGTTCACGGCCTTCGCCATCTCTCTCTCCCTCTCTCTCTGAACTTRCGGGCTATTTGGTTTGTGGGAATTGGGATCTAGAATCAGAATTAAATTGGTACCATCGTTTGGTTGGACGGAATCATCATTGCATTCCCATTTCTGGTGGAGTGGCATTCTTCCATTTGAGGAAGTGGTCATTCTCTCTCCTCCCTTGGGAATAAGAATCCCATTCCAACTTACTCAAATTCCAATTCTGATTCCTTGGGGTTTCAATTCCTATTCCTACTAAAAACAAAATGGACCCTTAATTTTAGAATTTCTGGTACATAAAGGTTAAAAGCTTAGAATGACCATAGGTAGAAAATACTCATTACTACTTTATTTTAATTAGTTTGAAGATAACATGATTATATTTCTATTTCATCATTACTATCATCTAAAGTTTGTCCCTACTATATGGGGTTGTCTACCTGAATCCTATTTTGCTATTTCATTTATTCAGAGTTTAGCACCATATTTATTGTTAAACTATGTTTATTTAAATCATTTCTTGTTACTTTCACAAAGTCTTTTTTAATCTGCCCTTGGCTTTTCTAACTCCTTCAACTTGTAATAGGTATATATATATATATATATATATATATATATATATATANTTTTTTTTTTTTTCTGTCAGGTGTTGTAAATGGTTTTTTATGTAATCACCAAACTATCTCAATACACTGCTATAGAGCGTATTGTATCGATATCCAAAGGCCTGGGCATGTAGTATTAATGAAAATGATCCTTTTGTCGTTTAAAAGCTTATACCACCAGCATAAGTCAAAGAATTGCTATTAAGTTTTCATCCAAAATTTTTGATGGTTTTATAGGCTATCCGCAAATTGGGTCGCCAACATATATTCAATCACACCAGCAGTCCAAACTTGTTAGATATATGGATTTTTCTCAAAAGAAATTGGAAAAATCCAAAAACAATAAAATATATTTTTTATATGTTTGAAATGATGTCCAAGGCAGGATAGACTATATGGTGGTTCTATCAATGATCCATTAAAATCATTGATCTAACAATTATTTATGTCAAAAATGGATTTTTCTTAGACTTTTGGGAAAAACCAAAATTTAGAAGAAAAAAATTATTTTAGATTTTTTAAATGATTTTCATTATTATAAAGAACTATAAGATGGATCTACAAATGATCTATCAAAATTATTGATCTAAAAACAATTTAATGTGTCTTGTAATGAATTTTTAGTAGATTGGAAGTTCAAGCATTGTTTAATGTATCATATGATATCTAAATGTTCTAAAATTCCCGTATTGTTGATTACAATTTATCTCTTCATACAACCTATTAAAGTATGCATTTCTCGTGTTTTTTTATTGCTTATTCATAGTTATTTCAGCCTTTTATGTCTGTTCACTCTTAATTGGCCCTGTAGCTCAATTGTTCTTGGGTTGAGCTTTCACCCATTCATGTAACCTGCCCAACTCACTAACCTTGTAATGTATGAAGCCATATGTTTTGGACCATTGTGGGATCATGCCACCCATGTGGTAAGGTGATACAATGTTTTAAAAATGACCCAGAAACCACTTTCCACTCTGAGTGACAGGTCAGTAGTTCAGCTGTTTGGATCAATTCATGATGTAATAGGAGGATAATAAAAATATAAATTATAGATAAAACTAATAACTTCATAAATAAATAAAATATTTCATAAATTATAAGAAGTCCTTATATAGTAAGAAATGATTTAAGGGCTCATAATTTAACAATGTATATGCCACTAAACAAAACTGAATGGCGAAACAATATCATATAACCAACCCCATATAGTTGGGACAAAACTTAGATGATGATGATGATGATTTTTTAGTGTTGGCTGGGGTTAAAAAAAGATCATGTATTTTCTAGATACTCAATGTAGTTAGGGAGGTCATTAAATAGGGCTGGAAAGAGATTGTAATAACTCATTGAGGCAGACGAGTGAGTCATAGTGAGTGGGCTAGCTAGCATTCCTTAGACTGAATAGGATTGCGCAACTTTAACCAATGAGTCAAACCAGATCTCCTGCAAGTATAAATTATGTACATATGACATCCAGCTGCACATTAGAAATATTTTTCATACATATATGTAAAATTTATAGGGACACCCAATATATAACCAGCTATTGAGATAAGATGTGTCCCATCAKTGTCCCACATGCACATCTCAGCATGAATTGGAAACATCTCCCATACTTATCATGGGGAGATGTTCCCAATACACAGGTGGGAGGTACTGTGTGACACTTGTGAGGTGCCAATCTGATCCCCCAGCTTTTCGAAGTGTGTTCCTTTGAGGCACTTTTGATATTTCCTTTTCCTTTGTTAAACGCTCTGCAAATCAGGTGGCTCATGCTCTTGCCGAGAGGGGATTGAGGGATCAGGGTAGCTTTGGTAGAATACATTGGATAAAAGGTACACCCAAATTTGATTCCTTTATTCGGATTTGAATTGAATCTTATTATATGAATTTATATTGGGGTTCAAATGCAATCCGAATAGCACTAATGAATTAAACTGAAAATGATAAAAATAATACATTATTAATGAACTAAATCAACAATGATTTTGATATTGTCATGAATAAAATATATCAAAAATAAATTTTATGAATCTTGAACCAATGACCAGTAAAAAAACATTCAAATCAACTTTATTGATTGAATCAGATTATAATGGATTCTTTAGGCTGTGTTTGGAAATAATGCAAATGGAGTGTAAATCCCGGTTCAGGATAAATTTGCACTCTGGTTCACTTTTGCTTGTATTTGGCAACATTACATTTATGTATTGACAAATGACGAACCAATGCATATTTACATTGATAATAAGTTGTAAAAGTACATCAATGAAAAAGAAGTAAATTTGCATTCAAGTGGGCTTTTGATTGAAAAAAAAAAAAACATATGTTTTATTAAAATTCATGTTTGCATCCATTACAGCTAAAAGTCTGTTTGGTAAAAAGGTAAATTTGTTATTGCAAAACTAACCCAACTTTGTAATATATATGAACCGTTTTATACTTTACATATTTGCATTCACACTTATTTGCATCATTTCCAAATACAGCCATATGAATTAATCTATATTTGATCCAATTATAGACTAATTTGAATTCTGATCACTCCTTAAGGGGGATGAATTTGAATTCAGATAAACAGACACCATTTGTAGCTATATTTGTTGGAAATTGAGGAGTACCAGCTCCATTCTTAGACACGTGCGAACCCTCGGTGGATGTTTGCCAGCGTGTATGGCTTTATTTTTCAATAAAAAATAAACTACTATATCAGCAAAAATATATTAATTTTGCTGATGTGGCAGTGTTTTAACAAAACCAATCATGATATTAATCACCTTCCTAAATTAACAAAATCTAAACAAATGGTGTGAATGAATCTAGATTCAATCCTCACAATGCTTGCGGCCCTGGATTGGGAATATCTCCCGATATATAAATCAAAAGATATAAATACAGAGATATTCTAAATGCACAGCTGTAAGTGTTGCGAGTACTGAATCCCGTCTCCGTTTGAATAAACATCAAATGTATTTAAAATGAGCTGTTATTTGGCAAACCATCAAGTAAGCACATAATGTTTTTTAACTGAAACCTATTGTGTTTAAGGGACATGTGACAAAATACTGATTTGTGCTTGACTGGTGCATTGCTTGTTCCAAGCATATATGATTGGACAAAAGCATCCGACGACCTATTAATTTTCATATTTAAACCCTAAATTCTAAATTCTAAATCCTAAACCCCTAAACCCTAAATTCTAAACACCCTACACTTTAAACCTTAATAACATACAAAATGTATATGATCAGACCATGTCCTCCAACAGATAGGAGCCAAATATTTCCTCACCTTTCATCTTAAACCCTAAATTCTAAACACCTTACACCTTAAATCCTAAATTCTAGGCTCATTTGACTAGGCATAAMTTCGGTTCAGCTGCTTTGAAGAAATTAGTTTGAAGAGGCTGTTTGGAGAAGCATGTAAATGGTCATAGGGATGATCGAAATTCGGCATGTTCTAAATTTTCTTACCAACCTTGCTTATAATTCCTCCGTTTTAATTTACTATTTATGATTAGACAAATGAAAGCATGTGAAAAACATTATAGACTTTATGCTATGAGAATGAATTGTGAGCATGGAAGATGGAACCCTCTTGTACCACTTTATG